GGGGCAGCACGCTGGCGCCCCTCGACACAGGGGACACAGGCAGGGCCAGGACCCTGAGGAAGGGGAGGTAGAGACCGGGGGAGACCAGACACAAGAAGACGGGAGGCCATGCCTCTGAGCCGAAGCAGAGAGGGGTGGCCAAGACGGTGGTGCCAGAGGAGGGTCTCGTGAGAAAGACGGCGACACGAACAAGGGGCAGACTCAGGACCAGACCTGGACGCTGCAGCAAACACCTGACCAGACGAAGGGACTCTACCAGACTCAGCACCTGGAGGAGAAGCAGTGGTCAGTGTGTACAGGCTCGACCTTGGCTGACGTGTAAACGTAGCCAGGTGACGACCCGTGCTAGCCTCCGTGCAGTGCGTCACTCGCTGACTAGCAGGGGTGAACTCTAGGACCCCCACATCCTGTAGGTCAGCACCACTCACCAAGTTCGTAGAGAACGAGGGGAGGTAGAGGCCACACAGGGTGCCAGAGGGAGCCGCCGGACACGGGAGGACCGTGGAGAAGCGAGCCAGGACAGGACCCCCAGAGGGGTCAGCCAGGGAAACCGCAACCGGCCGACTAAGCGGCGTAAGTGTGGTGCGGTCCCGAAAGAAAGAGCGAGACGCTCCAGAGTCAAGAGTGAAGGTGTAGGAGGCCGAAGCCGACGCAGTACCTGAGAGCGCAGACGCACTAGTACCTGAGAGAGCAGTCTCACAAGCACCGGAGAGCACAGACGCACTGGCACCTAGAGCAGAAGCCTCACCGGCACCTGGAGCAGCAGTACCAATGCCCGGGTCGGGCGGGAAACACCGGTAACAGTCACCCTCCTCACTAATGGTCACAGCATACATGGCAGCAAGGATAGCATCAAAATCAAGATCAAAGATAGCTACACCAGCCCTAGACAGCTCTCCCCAGCGGGGGATCTCCGCGGCCTCCGGGAACTGCTGACGCCAAGCGTCCGTCAAGCGGCCAAAGCAGCGCTGGGCGGAGTGGGCACCCCCACACTACTCTCCAGTGCGGTCGCCAGTGCGGAGAACGTAGGTGCAGGGACCAAAACCCCCACCGCGCTGATGCTGCGTGTACCACTCACGGAGCTGCTGAGGGGTTGGGACGTCCCGAGAACGCTGCTGCTGCTGCTGCTGCTGCTGGCGCTGACCGCCACCAGTGCCGCTCCGCTGCGAAGCTCCACTCCGACCACCTCCACCTCCGCCACCCCCCGCCTCCGCCTCCACCGCCCCCGCCTCCACCTCCACCGCCGCCACCTCCGCCACCTCCGCTACCACCGCCACCGCCGCCGCCACTCCCGCCTCCACTGCTGCCACTAGCACCCCCACCCCCGCTACCACCTCCACTGCCACCCCCACTCCCTCCGCCGCCTCCACCTCCACCGCCACCGCCCCCACTGGCCCCACCCGCTCCCTTGCCCCCCTTGCCCTTGCCAGAGCGGCGTCTTCCGCTAGGGGCAGACGCCGCACCGACCGACTCAAGACCAACGAGGTCGGCCGCAGCGGCAGAGGCGACAGAGGGCAGGAGAGGGGAAGGAGAACACCCCTCAAAGATGGGGGCGCGGGGGTCACCTCGAGAGGCTCCTATAGCAACTATGCTCTTCTCTACTGCAAGGAGGGCCTTCTCGAGGCTGTCGACTGTGAGGGTGGTGGGACAGACCGCGAGGAAGTGGTCCCGGACTACACGAAGGGAGTCAGGGAGGCGAGTGACTAAGAAGTAGAGAGTGATGTACATGGGGGGGGGGGTTCTTGGCGCAGAAGTCAGCAGGAAGCGCAGCGCGGTAGCGAGTGTCACTAGTGCGGAGGTGCGTGATGAGATCAGCGACAGTGGGAAAGGCGGCAAGGTCAGGGAAGAGGAAGGGGAGCATGAGGCGGCTCAGTGCAGTAGTGGCAGGGGAGGAGTAGCGCGCAACTACAGCGTCGTACAAGGTTTGAACACTCTTGTACTGGCTAAAGTGCGCGCGCTCAGCGGTAGGCAGGTGGCGACGCACAGCAAGACGTGCAGCAGCATCGCGCGTGGCCCACTGAGAGCGAACAGTGGCGTTAGTATCAGCAGCAGGGGCAGGGACGGCGCCAGAGGTGAGGTCAAAGAGAGACAGACCGTCGGCCCTGTCGCACTGTAAAAACAGCTGCAGGTCGTCGAGCCAGACCTCAAAGTCAATGGCTCGACCCTCAACGTCAAAAGCGAGGACACTGGGTGTAGCCATGACGACGACAGTGGAGCAGTGCAAGCAGTAGGGGAAGGGTACGCAGTGACAACAGTGCAGTGCTCACCGGGCAGGGCAGGTCGGGCGGCTCGGGAGGAAGGTCGCCTGGCGAAACGGCCGCTAGGCTGCTGGGCGGCTCGGCTCCCGGGCAGCTCGGCTGCTGCTGGGCGGCTCGGCTGCTGCTGGGCGGCTCGGCGGCTGCTGGGCGGCTCAGCGGCTCCGGGCGGCGCGGCTGCTGCTGGGCGGCTCGGCGGCTCCGGGCGGCTCGGCTGCTGCTGGGCGGCTCGGCTGCTGCTGGGCGGCTCGGCGGCTCCTGGGCGGCTCGGCTGCTCCGGGCGGCTCGGCTGCTGCAGGTGGGCGGCTCGGCTGCTGCAGTCGGGCGGCGCGAAAGCAAGGGGCGGCGGGACCGTTAGTGCTGGGGCGGCGGGGCCGCGAGACCAGGGGCGGCGGAGCTGCGTAACAGGGGCGGCGGGGCCGGGAGCGCTGGGGCGGCGGGGCCGCGAGATCAGGGGCGGCGGGGCCGTGAGCGCTGGGGCGGCGGGGCCGTGAGATCAGGGACGGCGGGGCCGCGGGCGCTGGGGCGGCGGGGCCGCGTATCAGGGGCGGCGGGGCTGGGAGCGCTGGGGCGGCGGGGCCGCGAGATCAGGGACGGCGGGGGCCGCGAGTGCTCGGGCGGCAGGGCCGCGTATCAAGGGCGGCGGGGCCGGGAGCGCTCGGGCGGCGGGGCCGCGAGATCAGGGACGGCGGGGGCCGCGAGCGCTTGGGTGGCGGGGCCGCTAGAGAAGAGGCGGCGGGGCCGCGTTCACTGGGTGGCGGGGCCGCGAGGGTAAGGCCGGCCGCTAGGGCGGCTCGGGGAAGGAGTGGCCCGAGGCGCGACTCGGGATGAGTGCGCTTCGGGCAGGAAAAAAAAGATTTCGACTGGTGGGCCCTAGGCACAGTTCCCACAGGGGAACCTGCTCTATACCATGTGAAAAACTGAACGAGGATGAATGAACTATGAATGAAGTGAGTACAAATATGAAACCCTAATTGGGTTGTACCCCCTATGAGATACCCCACTATAGCCTACACAAATAAGTAAGCTATAATGTTCTGACAGGAGGTGCAGCCGTTGGACGTCACGGTGAACCGCTCCTTCAAAGCAGCTGTGCGACAACAGTAGCAGCAATGGTTCGAGAGCGAGGGTGTTGACTGCCCGACTGAAAGAGGTGAGATTTAAGATTTAGGACTGTTTTTCAATTATTGACCCAGTTCTAATTGATGAATCTTTCAACGTGTGGCATGCAACATCCGCAAGCCACCACCTGAGCTGACGCTCAAGTGGATCTCCAAGGCCTGGGCGGTGCCCAAGGAGTTGATTGAGCGCTCGTTTCTGACTTGCGGCATCAATAACGCCTTGGACGGGTCTCAGGACGGTCTCTGCCTGCAGCACCGGCGGGATGTCGTCAAAGGCGAAGTGGATCTTGACGACGAGATTGCAGCAGATGGATTCTGCTGCAACAACGTAGACGAGTCAGAGTCGGACGGTGAGACCGCCGACGAAGGCACTGCCACTACTAAGGAGGATGCTTAGGTTGTGGGTAAAGTAGAAATGTGTAGGACGTGAAAATGTGGTAGAAAATGTAGAAAATGCGAATATGTAGTCAGATATTAAGAGAAAACGTAGGATACTAATTGTAACAGTGTAAAACTTAAAAATGTAGTATGTAAATGGTGGCGCTTATAATGTGTAAGGTAGTAGGGGTGCGCTTATAATCCGTAAGGCTCAAAGCATGCGCTTATAATCGAGGAGCGGATATAAGCGCCCTCATCCTTTTATAAGCGTCGGCGCTTATCCGAGGCCTGCGCTTCTATCCGGGGGCTTACGGTACCATGTTGGGCTGAGAAAAAGCCCTTAGGATCATTTTCAAGACCAAGGCTCTGAATAATGATGTACGGTATTAGCAGAAGCGTTTAATGAGGACTGATTGAACCACATTGCACTGGTGTATGAGAACAAGATAAGTTTATCATAGCAAAGAGATACAATCCTTTACATGATTACCAAATACGGTAATATGAAAGGTTTAGTAACTGTAACTGCGGTTGCGGTTGAATACAGCAACGACTTGGGTAACTGCTCAATAGCGAGTTAGTTATGTGTCCTTGCTGTCGCGCTGCTTTTGGCAAGTCAAAGGTCATTGACCTTTGACCTTCACTTAACCTCTTGTTGTTGTCCTTTTATCAACCGCTTCGGTTGACTCGCTGTTACTTCGCTGCAGTTCGCTTCGCTTGCGTTGTAGTGCCTGACAGATCAGAAGCGCGAACTACATGTTTCCAACAGACCTAACCTAGCAACTGATACCATGTCAGAAATGGCAGAATGGCGACCACTAAAGAGAAATTGGTACGGTACCGGTACAAGCAAGAAACCCTAAATAGGTTGTACCCTCTGGAGTGTGCCTCACTGTAGCCTACAACCTAACACATGCATATTGTTTCACTGGCCGTTACCGTATCATTCATTTCAGTTTCTAACACGGCGGTCCGGTACGAGTCCAGAGGTCCAGTACGAGTCTAGAGGCCCTCCCTCCCTACGCCTAGAAGCGGGCCTTCTTTCTGAGATCGCTGACCATAATTCATTAACGGGAACCATAAGGCTGATCTCTACAGCAACAACAATCCGAAAGGCTCAATAAACACCCCCCCTTCCCTAAGCCCATAAGCGGGCCTCCTTGCAGATGTCACTGCTGACCTTATTTCAAGCACGGCACGTTTACTGATCTAAGGTAACAGATATATCAACGCCTCACTCCTTTCCCTACGCCCAGAAGCGAGCCTTCTTGATGAGGTCGCTGACCTTCACTAGATCCATCTTGGCTGCAATTATGAAGTCATTCTCACTCAAGCCACCTGCAGGGAGGGAGAAGCGAGAAGGGGAAGAGGTGGGGAGGGGAGCAAACACAGGCTCATCTGGTATGAGCGCTAACCTTCACTAGATCCATCTTGGCTGCAATTATGAAGTCATTCTCACTCAACCCACCTGCAAGAGGGGGGGGGGGGGGGGGGGGGGGGGGGGGGGGGGGGGGGGGGGGTGGGAGAAGGGGAAGAGGTGGGGAGCAAACACAGGCTTATCTGGTATGAACGCTGTCCTTCACTAGATCCGTCTTGGCTGCGATAACAAAACTCATTCTCGCCCAAGCCACCTGCAGGTAGGGAGAAGAGATGATTGTAGGGGAGACTGCACACGGCCTTACGATTGTGTAATGCTTGAGTGCAATCCATCTTGGCTGCAAATAAAAAAATGACGGTGTTTTTGCTCAACCCTGACCACATAGCCCGCATGCACATGTCCTCCTGCTGCCCCCCCTCCCACACTCCCCCTGCCGTGCCTCCACCATGGCCCCCATCCACCGCACCAGTCCCATTTTACTCACCAATTGCAGGAGTCTAGAGATCAACCCTGACCACGTAGCCCTGCCTGCTGCATGCTCCTGCCTGGCTGCCGCCTGGCCCACCACTGCCCCCAACCGCCTCTTCAGTCCCATTTTACTCACCGATTGCAGGGGTATAGAGATCAACCCTCACAACATAGCCCTGCTCCACACTCATATCCGCCTGCTGCACCATGCTTTCCCTACCATGATGACTCACCAATGGCAGGCGTGTGCAGGTCCACCCTGACCACGTAGCCCTGCTCCACGCTCATGTCCGCCTGCTGCGCCCCTCCGCAATGCTCCTGCTGCCCCTCCACCACGGCCCCCATCCGCCGCATCAGCTCCCCCCCGCTCTCCTCGTCCCGCACGCGCCACTCGCCTCTTAGCCGCAAGCCTGAGGGTTCGGATACTAGCTTCCACCCAACGACCTGGAGGAGAGGGGTTCAGGGTTCAAGGTGCGGGATTGCATGAGAATGGGCATCATCGCCGCATCAGCTCCTCCCCCCCCCCACGCTTCTCCTGGTCCCGCACCCGCCACTCGCCCCTTAGCCGCAGGTCCGAGGGTTCTCGTACGCGCTTCCAGACAACGACCTGGAGGAGAAGATTTGGGGCCTCAGGGCTCAGGGTTGTGAGACTTGGAGAGATAATGATCCGGTATGGCACACACACTTCATACTCTCCGCATCACCTCCCTGCCGCTATCCGCGTCCCGCCCCACCCCCGCCACTCTCCCCTCAGCCGCAGAGTTGGGCGACTGGATGGGTAGGATACTTGCGCTCATCCAACGACCTGGCGGAGAGGGTTCAGGGTTTAGAGTGCGAGGTTTGGAGAGACTAGCATTAGCACCGGTCGGACTCGGTCACTACCCCCTCTCACCAGATATCGCTCTTCCCCTTACCACCATCCGACACATTACCCATACCCCTCCCCCGCCTTACTCAGACCACCCTTTTCTCTGCAGCCCCTTCACAGCCCCACTTTCCCCCTTCCCCCCTCCCCTCCCCCTTCCGCCCCTCTCTCTTTTCTTGCGTTACCCCTTCCCCGCGCCGGACCCACCCGCTTGAGCAGCTCTCGGGCTCCTGGCTCCGCCAATGGCTGCGTGCCAGCTGGCAGCGGCGCGCAGTTGCGTGCGGCCAGGCCTGCCACCTCGCTGCAAGAAACGGCAAAAGCGGAGAGAGAAGGTCAGGAGGGGGCAGGGTAGAGACGTACGGTTGCGAGTCCAAACACAAGTTGTTGCTTCCAATGCAAGAAGTGTAGTTTTTTTCCCCTCTTTTTCAGACTTTGGGTACCGGCATTGTCATAGCGAGTAACAAGGTTCTGGAAAGTTTCTACATTTACGTTAACTAGATGCCTTGGCAACTTCAGGCTTGGGCGCCGTGAAAGGCAAGGGAGTTGGAGCGAGTCTACGTGGGCTCAGGTGACTCGTGGTGGGTCTTTGTATTGACTCGCAACACTTACAAAAAAAAAAAAAAAAAAAAAAAAAAAAAAGGTATTCGAATCACTTTAAGAGAGTACTCGAAGACGTCGAACGTACACTGCAAACAGAGAGTACTCACGTAAGAGAGGAGCACAGGACCCATGGCAATCCACACCGCCTGGTCTGATTTAAAGCACGTACGTTATTCCAGACGGCAGCAGAATGCGGTGCTCCGTGTCGGCATTCCCAAGAACCTTATCGCCGAACTGGCTCTCCAGCTCACTCGGCCGCGGGTCGCGCGCTCCGTAATCCCCAATGTCGAACCGCTCGTCCGAAGCGCGCACGACCAATGATTTCCGTTCCGAAGTTGGTCGGTTTCTTGGGTTTACCGAAGCTACGCGGAGCTGTTGGCGCTTCGACAGGAGGTCTGCTTGCGGCGCGAGAGACCGTTGAATGCCAGCGGGACTAATGGCGACGGCTGATCGCAAGGCTGCCATGATTGCGATTGACGATTGACTATCGACGTTTGAGGATCGACGGTTGACGATCTACGCAGTCAAGCAGGCAATGAAAGCACGGAACTTGGGCGCAGCTGGCTTTTGCCAAGGGATAAGGACCAGCTTGAGTGAAGCTGTGGTCAGAGCGACGTGGGTGAGGGAATAAATTGCTTCGCAAATCTGAAGAAACAAATTTCATCGTATCAACTGGGCTGAGGTTGGTAGGTTGGGAGGCTCCCTCGCGAGTCGAACGACCTGTAACCAATCGTGCGACAAAGCCAGCTGTTCGTCAGAGGTTTTTTTCCAATTCGAACGATTTTGGTGTTGACTTTCGCGAAAACCTCTCTTCGCCAAGAATTCGTGGTCCGCCCCTCAGCCCACGCCGAACTCGCCACGTCATCAGAACCACATCCAAATCATGCCACGGGGGACATTTGTTCCCAAATGTCAGCCACTTGCTACACCTCATCCCCGACACAACAAGTAGAAGCCTAATCTGCGTATCCCATCAGCGCCATTACGTTCTAGAAGAGGGAGCAGTTGACAAAAGCAAAAGCATTTCTCGTAGCATCAAGGTTCCCACTTCTCCACCCCAGCGGTTATATCCGCGGCGTCACCGGCAGCCAACCATTTCGTTCTCTCTTTTGACTCTTAATCCCACTCTTTCTCACTGTCCGTGCGACCAACCATGGCAGCTTGTGCGTCGTCCCTCGCGTCCGCCGCCGCATTTCAAGGCGTCTCCGTGCCGCGCGGCGTTCCTCTCGCCGCAGAAGGTGGCTTCCCCCACTCCGTCCTTCGACGCGCAGAGTCGCTCCCCGCGCGGGGGTACCGAGCGGTGCGCGTGCGCGCGTCGTCGCGCGCGGATGACAGCGAGGGCAGCGGGGCGCAAAATGGCGCGCGCGCGGCTGCGGAGCACCCTCTCCGCGCGAAGCTCCTCTCCCGCCGCAGGCTTTTCGCCCTCGCGGGGCCTTTCGCGCTCGCGCTCGCCGGTTTTCCGCGGATCGCCCGCGCGGAAGGAGAAGGTGCTGACGTGGCAGTGCTAGATGCGCCTGCTGATGTGGCAGTCCTGGATGCGCCTGCTGAGGTTGTTGCGGAAGTTGCGCCGGCTGCTGAGCCCGCCACTGTGGAGCCAACGCTGACGTCAGACGCAGTCATTTCGGCAGAAGCGACAAACGCGAATGCTGCGGTAAGAAGGGCGGCGCGTGAGAGGTAAATCGGGAGGAAGAGAGAGGAGAGCGAGGGAGGGGGGCACGAGGGAGGAGAACGAGAGATTACACGTGGCACTGGCATTCTCCCCACATTCCCACGCCCCACTTGTCGCTTACATAGTTTCTTTTTCGCGCCTCCGTGCACGTTCCCTCTTCTTTGCTGTTGCGTTCCGTCCTTGCCTCGGATTGAACAGCCTCAGCCTCAGCAGCAGGAGCAGGAGCAGGCAGAGGAGCAGCAGCAGGCGTTTGGCGGCGCGTGGTTGGGCGCGGCGCTGCTGGGTGCGACGCCAGCTGGCGCGCTGGGATTCGTGCTGCGAGGGGAGCGCGCGCAGCGGGAGGCGGTGGAGGGTGACCTGGCGAAGGTGAGTGTGAGACATCACGTAAGGTTCTTGAGCAACGGAAAAAATGCCACGACCATGTAGCCACGATGTTGCCACCATGTTACCGCCATGTTACCGCCATGTTACCGCCATGTTACCGCCATATTACCGCCATGTTACCGCCATGTTACCGCCATGTTACCACCTTGTTACCGCCATGTTACCGCCATGTTACCACCTTGTTACCGCCATGTTACCGCCATGTTACCGCCATGTTACCGCCATGTTACCGCCATGTTACCGCCATGTTACCGCCATGTTACCGCCATGTTACCACCTTGTTACCGCCATGTTACCGCCATGTTACCACCTTGTTACCGCCATGTTACCGCCATGTTACCGCCATGTTACCGCCATGTTACCGCCATGTTACCGCCATGTTACCACCTTGTTACCGCCATGTTACCACCTTGTTACCGCCATGTTACCGCCATGTTACCGCCATGTTACCGCCATGTTACCGCCATATTACCGCCATGGCACTACGGAGGTGGTGGAGGGTGACCTGGCGAAGGTGCGTGTGGGACATCGGATATGGTTGTTGAGCAAACGAACAAATGGCAACACCATGTTATCACCATGTCACCACCATGTTACCATGTTACCACCATGGCACTATGGAGGCGGTGTAGGGTAACCTGGTGAAGATGCGTCAGGGAAATCACAACAGGCTATGTAATGCACCGCCGATTGTTTGTACTAACAAGAAAAAAACAAACAGACAAACAAATGCCACCACCATGCCAACCCTCTCCCCCCATTCCCCCTCCCTCCATCTTTCCACCCACCTGATCCCCGCAGGCGCAGGCAGCAGCGGAGCGAGCAGGTAGGAGGCTGAAAGAAGCTGTGCTGCATTACTCCATTATCCATTAATCAGTTTTTCCCTCTTTCCCCCTCTCACTCTCCATCCCTCCCCCTTTCTCCCCCTCCCCCTCCCCCTCCCCCTCCTCCTCCTCCTCCTCCTCCTCCTCCTCCTCCCCCTCCCCCTTTCTCCCCATCCCCCCTCCCCTTCCTGCAAGCGCAGGCGCGGGCAGCGCTGGAAGCAGCGGAGCGAGCAGCGAAGGAGGCGGAAGGGGTGAAGGCGGAAGCAGCAGCGGCGGCGGCGGCGGCAGCAGCAGCAGAGGCGCGCGTGGGGGAGGCGGAGAGGGCGCGGAGGGAGGTGGAGGGAAGGCTGGGGGAGGAGGCGGAGAGAGCCAAGCGGGCGGAGGAGAAGGGTGAGTGGTAGTGAGGGAGAGGGATGAGCGAGGATGAATGACTGGATGCTGTCACAACACAACGGAAAGGTGAGTGCGTGTGGAGGGCAGCATGGAAACTGGCAGCTGCATTGCAGTCAAAGACTGAATACAGGCACAACGGGAGGTAGGCGGGCAGAGAGGGGCTGGAGGGAGGTGGAGGGGAGGGTGGGGGAGGAGGCGGAGAGAGCAAAGCTGGCGGAGGCAGCAGCACGCTCAGGGTTTAGGGTTTGAGAGTGTTTGCTGATGGTTATGAGAGTGACTGAACGAAATCACAACGTAAGGGTGGGTGGGTGTGAGTGATGGCAATGAGGGGGCAACAGCACAGGCTGGCGAAGGCAGCAGCACGCTTTTCCATATGCTTCGAGAACCCAAACTTCTTCTCCAACCTTTACCTCCCACCTTTCTCCTTACACCCCTCTCCTACTCCCCCCCACTCCCTACAATCCCACCTCCCCCATTCACCACCCTCCACTACCCCCCTCCCACTTAACAGCTAGTCAGCTATCCACGCAGCTCTCCCAGCGGCAGCAGCCGCAAGCAGCAGCACAGGCGGAGGCAGATGCAGCAGCAGGATCACGCTTTTCACTGTGCTTCAACAAGCCCAAAACTCCACCCCTGCCCCCTCTCCCGTCCGTTCCCCTTGCGCCCCTTCCCCACTCCCATCCCATCTCCCTCCCACCTCCCTCCCCCACCCCACTCTCCCTCGGGTAGCCGGTCCGCTATCCACGCAGCTCTCCCAGCGGCACCAGCAGCAGCTGGCAGCAGCAAAGGCTGAACCGAGGCAGATACAGCAGAAGGAGCGGCATGCGTAATACGGTGCTTCATTGAACCCAAACTCTTCTCCCCCGCCCCCTTCCCCTTTATGTGTCTCCTCCACTCCGCACCCTCCCTCCTTTCCCCTCCACTTCCCTCCCCCTTCCCCACTATCCCCCCCCTTCCCCCCTCTTTCCCCCTTTCCCCCGTTCCCCATGCCAGCGGGTCAGCTATCCACGCAGCTCTCCCAGCGGCAGCAGCAGCTGGCAGCAGCACAGGCGGATGCAGAGGCAGCAGCAGGAGCCGTCTCAGCCGCCCAAAAGGCGGCTGCCGGCCTTGCTGCCGACCTGGAAGCTTCCATGAAGGAGCGGGAGGCGCTTCAGCAGGAACTGGTAACTGGGCGGGTGAAGATGCAGCAGAAAATCGGCGAGGCGGTTACCGCAAAGGGTGACGTGGCACGGTTACAAGGGAAGGTGAAGGAGCTGGAGCAGAGTGAGAAGGATGCGGCTGCTGAGCTGGATGCCAAGTCAGCGCAGCTGAAGGAGAGTGCTGACGTGGAGGCCCGGCTGCGTGCTGAGCTGGCAGATGCTCAGGGTGCGCTGGCGAAGGTTGAGAGTGATGTGGCATCCCTGCAGGCTGAGCTGGCAGGAGAGAAGAGCACGGTGCAGAAAAAGGAGGAGGACATCCAATCTCTGCATGCTGACGTGGAATCAACCAATGCCAGCCTGGCAGCCGCCCATGAGTCCCTCGAGTCGCTCCGAAACGACCTGGCCTCTGCTCGGGAGGAAGTTTCCCAGAAGCAGCAGGCTGTAACCCAGCTCGAACTCGACGCCGAGACTCTCAAAGGCGCCGTCCGGGCAGCTGAACGGGCAGCCGAAGAAGCCCGCAGCGAACTCTCCGCCGTCCAGAAATCCCTCGTGGATCTCCAGCAGGTAGCAGACGACGCCGAGGCCGGAAAGCGGGCGGCGGAAGACGCCTTGGAGCGGGAACAGCGGGCGGCAAGCGCCGCCGTCCAGGAGCTGCAGATGCATTTGGCAGCATTAGGGCGGGAGAGGGAGGTGGTGGGGCGGCTGAAGAAGGGCGTGGAGGAGGCGGGCAGGGTGGTGGACGCGCTTCAGGGGGAGACTGAGGCGCTCAGGGCGGAACTGGGGGAGGTGCAGAGGCGGGAGAGGGAGGGGGAGGAGGCACGTCGAGGAATGGAGGTGCGTGCGGGGTGATGTGGGGTGGGGTGGGTGGGGTGTGGGGGTGGGGGGTTGATGTTTGGGGGTGCGGTGGGCGTGGAGGTGGGGTGGTGGGGTGGTGTGTAAGGATGGGCTAGGGGGTGGTGTGTAAGGATGGGCTAGGGGGTGGTGTGTAAGGATGGGCTAGGGGGTGGTGTGTAAGGATGGGCTAGGGGGTGGTGTGTAAGGATGGGCTAGGGGGTG